GCCTTCAATTTTAGATTTTTTTTACTTTTTTCGCCCGGAAATAAAAGTTGCCGAAATGTTTACCATGGTCCTAAATACCCTCCTAGAGTCCAATTGGGTAGGTGGAACCATCCTATTTGCCTTTAAACGGCCAATTTACCGTTTTACAACTTGCACCGATTTAATTAACTCAAGTCTACTACGAACATTTATGACAACCTATAATGATCATATATGGTTCCAAATGACATTATATGACCCCGATCTGTATTCTCTAAAATTTCAAGACTTTTCAACACTGGGCCCCGGAATCTCCAAAATTTCTCAAAAAGCGTGGATATTAGCCTTTAATTTTGGAATTTTTTAACTTTTTTTCGCCCGGGAATAAAAATTGTCGAAATATTTAACATGGGCCCTAATACTCTCTGGGAGTCCAATTGGGTGGGTAGCGCCATCCAATTTGCCTTTAAACGACCAATTTACTGAGTTATAACTTGCACCGAATTCATTAATTCAAGCCTAAGCTACCACGAACATTTATGACAACATGTAATGATCATATATGGTTCCAAACAGCATTACATGACCCCGAGATGTATCCCCTAAAATCTCAAGCCTTTTCGACATCGTGCCAGAAACCTCTAAAATTTCTCTCAAAAGCGAGGACATTAGCCTTCAATTTTAGAATTTTTTGACTTAATAAAAATTGCCAAAATGTACGTATAACATGGTCCCTAATACCCTTCCGGGAGTCCAATTGGGTGAGTGGACCATCCAATTCTCCTTTAAACGGCCAATTTACCGATTTACAACTTGCACCAATTTCATTAACTCAAGCCTACCACGAACATTTATGACAACATTTAATGATCATATATGGCTCCAAACGGCATTATATGACCCCGAGATTTATTCTCTAAAATCTAAAGGCTTTCCGACACTAGGCCTCGAAACTTCCAAAATTTCTTAAAAAGAGTGGATATAAGCCTTCAATTTTAGAATTTTTTGACTTTTATTCGTCCAGATATAAAATTGACGAAATATTTACCATGGTCCCTAATACCTTCCGGGAGTTCAATTGGGTGGGTGGAACCATCCAATTTTCCTTTAAACGACCAATTTACCGGATTACAACTTGTACCGATTTCATTAACTCAAGCCTACCATGAACATTTATGACAACATATAATAATTATATATGATTCCAAACGTCATTATACGAATCCGAGATTTATCCCTTAAATTTTCGAGGCTTTTCGACACCGGCCCACAAAATCTCCAAAATTTCTCAAAAAGCGTGTATATATTCTTCAATTTTTGAATTTTTTGACTTTTTTTCGCCCGTAAATAAAAATTTCCGAAATGTTTACCATGGTCAGTAATACCCTCCGAAATTTTTATCATGGTCAGTAATACCCTCCGGGAGTCCAATTGGGTGAGTGGAACCATCCAATTTGCCTTTCATCGACCAATTTACCGGTTTACAACTTGCACCGATTTTATTAAATCAAGCCTATCATGAAAATTTATGACAACAAATAATGATTACATATGGTTCCAAATGACATATGACTACGAGATGTATTTCCTTGAATTTCAAGGCTTTTGGACACCGGGACCCGAAAACTCCAAAATATTCTCAAAAAGGTGGATATTAGCCTTTAATTTTTGAATTTTTAGACTTATTTTCGCCCGGAATAAAAATTGCCAAAATTTTTATCATGGTCCCTAATATCCTCCGGGAGTCGAATTGGGTGGGTGGAACCATCCAATTCGTCTTTTAACGGTCAATTTACCGGGTTACAACTTGCACCGATTTCATCAAATCAAGCCTCCCACGAAAATTTATGACAACATATAATGATCATATATGGTTCTAAACAACTTTATATGACCCTAAAATGTATCTCTTAAAATTTCAAAGCTTTTTGACATCGGACCCTGAAACCTCCAAAATTTCACAAAAAGCGTGGATATTAGTCTTTAATTTTGGAATTTTTTAACTTTTTTTCGCCCGAAAATAAAAATTGCCTAATTGTTTACCATGGTCCCTAATACCCTCCGGGAGTTCAATTGGGTGGGTGTAACCATCCAATTTGCCTTTAAACGACCAATTTGCCGATTTACAACTTGCACCGATTTCATTAAATCAAGCCTACCATGAACATTTATGACAACATATAATGATAATATATGGTTCCAAATGGCATTATATGGCCTCGAGATGTATCTCCTAAAATTTCAAGGCTTTTCGACACCGGGCCTCGAAACCTCCAAAACTTCTGAAAAAGTGTGGAACTTAGCCTTCAATTTTGGAATTTTTAGAATTTTTTTTGTCCGAAAATAAAAATTGTCGAAATGTTTACCATGGTCCCTAATACCCTACGGGAGTCCAATTGGGTGGGTGTAACCATCCAATTTGCCTTTAAACGACCAATTTATCAGTTAATACTTGCACCAATTTCATTAATTCAAGCCTACTATGAACATTTATGACAACATATAATGATCATATATGGTTCTAAACGGAATCATATTTCCCCAAGATGTATCCCCTAGAATCTCAAGTCTTTTCGACACCGGGCCCTGGAACATACAAAATTCTCAAAAAGCGTGGATATTAGCATTCAATTTTGGAATTTTTTGACTTTTTTTCGCACAGAAAAAAATTTTGCCGAAATGTTTACCATGGTCTTTAATACCCTCCGGGAGTCCAATTGGGTGGGTGGAACCATCCAATTTGCCTTTAAATGACCAATTTACCGGTTTACAACTTGTACTGATTTCATTAACTCAAGCACACCACGAACATCTATGACAACATATATAATGATCATATATGGTTCCAAACGGCATTTTATGAACCCCAGATGTATTCTCTAAAATCTCAAGACTTTGTGACACCGGGCCTCAAAACCTCAAAAATGTCTCAAAAAGCATTCAATTTTGGAAATTTTTTACTATTTTTCGACTTGAATAAAATTGCCGAAATATTTATCATGGTCCCAAATACCCTCCGGGAGTCCAATTCGGTGGGTAGAACCATCTAATTTGCCTTTAAACGACCAAATTACCGGTTTACAACTTGCACCGATTTACGGGTTTACAACGGCCAATTTAATTAACTTGTACCGAACACGACTTGAATCGAAATCGACCCAAACCCGTTTTAACCCGTGAAAACCCAAATTTAACCCGACTTGTTACTAACCTGACCTAAATTCAACCCGACCCGAATTTAACCCAACCTATTACAAACCCGACTTGAAATCAACCTGACTTGTTATTGACCTAACCCAAATTAAACCCGACTTGTTATTGACACGACCTGAATTTTACCAGACCTATTACTTACCCGGCCCAAAAAATTCAACCCGATCTGTTACTAACTCGACTCGAAATTAACACGACTTGTTATTGACCCGGCCTAAATTCAACCCAAATTATTCCTGACCCGATTTCAAATCACCTTAAATGCAATTTAGACCACCTTATTATTGTTGATCAAAGCATTTTTTCTGGGGAGACCAAGTCGGTCCAGGCCAGCTAAAGAAAGGAGCATCATCCTTAAATTTAAGAGTTAAATATAGTACTCGTATCTATTTGTTGTATGGTCAAAGGAGATAATTATCTTCCTAAATTATAGATTATAGTTCCCTAGTATATTGCCATATATATTATAGTCAAAGGAAATAATTAGCTTGATAAAAATGATAATTATCTATTTATAATTAGTTGAACCCGAATATAACCTGACTTGGAAATGACCCGACTTGATTGTAACCTGCAAATTATTGACTTGAACATAACCCAACTTGAATCCGAGAATGACCCGACTTGAAAATGACCCAACCTTTTTATAACCCGCAAATTATTAACTTGAACCGAACCTGACTTGAACCCGAGAATGACCCGACTTGAAAATGACCGGACCTGATTATAACCCGCAAATTATTGACTTGAACCGAACCCGACTCAAACCCGAGAATGACACGACCTGATTCTAACCCGCAAATTATTGACTTGAACCGAACCCGACTCGAACACGAGAATTACCCTAACCCGTGAAAACCCGAATTAAACCCGACCTATTGTTCACTCGACCCGAATGTAATCCGACATGTTATTAACCTGACCTAAACCCGACCCAAACTTGATAAGAAGTATGACTCGACGTGACTTGACTCAAGCATGACCCAATCCAAACCCGACCCGCATAGGTTATGTAAATAATCCGAATTGACCCGACCCGAGTTGACCCAACCCACCTTTACCCGACCAAAACCTAACCCATTTACCCGAATTAACAGCTCTAGGTGGCTAGGTCACTAGGTGGTGTCATGGTGTGTAATGTATCTTTGGAAGTGGACAAATCACAAAGCATAAGCATCCCTTTTTTAATCGGGATAAATTAATCAAACTAGCATTAAATTTAACACCCGTTTTATCGTTTAACATATAAAAGACAAAAAAAAAAGATTGTTTTTTTTTTATTTTTTATTTATTTTTTTATCACTTCAGTTTTAAATTATTTGCGGCAATTAGATATTTTCTACTCACACTTTATGTCATATGGTTGTAAATAATTTAAAACAAAGGTAGTATGTTTGCAGAATTCGAAAAAGATATGTCGTATAATTGAAAATAAATTAGATAAATAGTTTAATTTTCATACATATTGCATCCTCATACAGTGATGAAATGGAAGGGGAGAGCAGTAGACCAATACTTTTTAATTGTTAAAATAATTTTTAATCAATAAAATATAAAGTCAATTAATAAGTAAACTAATTCAAGTTTAGTATAGACGAAGATAATGGGCGGGTAGAACACTACTCTGAATAAGAGTATCTCAATGTAAACATGAAGATAAAAAAAATTAATCCAACAAGGATGAGATTATGTGAAAATTAATTTCGGACAAGATTTCCATACTACTTTGAATCATTTTTCTCTACTATGTGCTTGAATATGTAATTGGGAGTTTAAACTATGTCAAAGGATTTAACTTCACACTATCAGAAACCACTTGGATTCGAGGGCCAATTAAATTACAGTACATAAGATGATAAGATCAAAAGGTAACAAGTTGTTTGCAATTTTGCATACAAATACATATCGGCATATTGCCTAACCATTAAGTTAAAATGTATTAATGTTACAAAAATCGCCTAAGAAACTCTTTGACCTCATCAATATAAGGAGGTCTTGTAGGAATTATATGACCAGAATCGTGCTCGATAATCACTCTGCATCCATCTTCAAAATATGATGATAGATCTCTGCTAAAACCAGATGATATTTGCCGATCACCTCCATCCTCGCTTCCAAAAACATGAAGCGAAGGGAGAGTAATGGATCCTTTTTCATGTTCTGCTAGATTAACAGCAAATCCAGAACATAAAATTACAAATCTGAAACCTAATTCAAGGTCTAGTCTTCCTCTCTCAGCACACATAAGAGCCACCATAGCAGCTCCCTGTGAAAAACCCAAAATACCGTCAAAGGGCCCATCCTTAGAAACAACAGATTTCAGATACAATAATGACTCGGTAAATCCCTCAGTCTGCTGCTGATACTGAAGTGGATCAAAAGGCTTTTCAGTCCTTTCCCAATGAGTTGCTTCCTTCTTGTGGAAATCAGGAGCTACCAACCATGCATATTTCTTGCTGCAATTTTTAGTAGGTGGGGAATAGTCATGATGAGGAGGACTTAATATGCACTCCTTATCTGGTTTACGAGGTTGGTATATAAATGGTAATTCATGGGGAGCATTCACAAAAACAAACTCTGCCAAGGTTTTCAGTTTTTTTGCCAACGAGGCAGTTCTTCCTTTAAAACTAGAAGCATTCTGACGAAATCCATGAAGACACAATATCCGGAGTTTCTTCGTAGGCCCTATACTTCATCAGATGGAAAACCATAACAGTGTTTAGTGGCAGTTGTAGCATTTACTTTCTAAACGAAAGAATAATTATCAATTCATGATGAAACAACTTTGATCCAGAGAGAATTAACACATCAAGGTGTTCAAGTGATCTCATATTAGACAGAACCCATTTCTTTGTGTAACCATGGAAATAATCAATTACTGTACTACAATTGTGGTGTGTAAGTCAATAGAAAAGTCCGAAGATGAAACCTTACCAGGAATGCAGGGTAATTGAGAATGGCTTGCGCTAAGAGGAGTTGGGCACTCAGTGGGAGCCGTTCCAACATCGCAAGCCAGAATTACTTCAGGACTATTATCATCAACTAGAGGAACAGACTGGGCAACTTTTCCATGTTTTTGACACAATTCACAAGCATATTGGGCATTCTCCTTCTGAAGAATCAAGAATCGAAGCTTTAAATGGAGTAAAATAATTAAACAATTGTAGACCGTCATAGTTCTAGAGACTGATAACTGTGAATGATGTATGCAACAGTAGGTAATATGATAATTATTCGCAATCAATGTCAAGATTTACCAGGCAAAAGCTCAAGTTTAGGACATTTCAAAAATTCAAACAGTCAAGGAAAATGCTTGTATAAAGTGGGAGTGTTGTATACAATAGACTTATAAACCTTAAATCACACATTAAGAATAACTTTGCCAAAAGGTAGCTTTAATAATTTGAGGTGATTAAGCCTGTAGTATCCGAGAGAGATAATGGAGATTTCTTGTGAGCATCAAGGATTCAAGGGCAGTGAGCTGAAATTCAAATGATATAGTTCTTCCTAGCATTCACTACAAGAATACATCTCATCCACAGCTTAGGGACTCAAGAGATCATAGGACCACTTGACCATAATGCCTTCAAGACAAAGTCCCCAAGACCATCCCTAAACAAGTGACAAGCTTTCCCTTTGACTTCTTTTCAGGCATTAATTGGTTCTCAAGGATCGAGATCTACAAAGGAGAAGTTAGAATTTTACTTTGTAGCAAATTTTTAAAGATATCATTTTAAATCTCTTAGCATAACATATGTCCCTCCAATCATCCGCATTATTGACACTTATTCAAAAATCACCCGTAAGGACGCTCTATATCAAGTGTAGTGTGGGGACTATAAAGTATAAACCCTACTCAATAAAAAATCCATGGTGACTTTATAATCTCTACCAAATAAGCCATCCTTCAACCAAAGCTCATTCTTAAAATGGTATCAGTCTATCAGATGGGTAACACTGTAAAAGGATGATTGAATTTGTTGAGTAAAACTGTTATTATTCATTATCCTTACCTGACAATCAATGCAGACCAATACAAGCATCCGACAAAATGCACAACGACAGCGTGAGGAGTAATCATCAAAAGAGGTCCCACAAAGGAGGCATTTACCCATGATATGTTTACTTGAACTCCCAACTGAAATCCTACTAGAAGCATACACGGCATCAGCGAAATAGTATAATAGCATTATGATTAAACAATAATTAATCAGATTTTCTAACAAAAACTAAGTGAAACTCTTATGTAAGACAGGCATGCTGCATGCATATTAGAACAGTCCAAGACATCCCAATTTCAGTTGAATATTATCTTATATCCCGATTAAAGCAACTGCCCCCAATGACCAGCAAGATGAGCACCTAACCAATTTTTTGTGAACATCATTTTAGCAAAATCAGACAAGAAACAGATTTAACAAGAGTGCAGAAAAATAATGCATGCTAGATATCCACTTAAACAGCAGCTGATAAAAGTACATTCTAAGATCATGGAACTGGTGAATCTAAAGTCTAAACATAATAGATATTGAAGAAGGCTGCTAGGAATTAGCATGGTTTCTGACCAGATTACAGCTCTAAATATGGTAGAAATTAGGGAAGAACAATGATGATTATATTGATAAAGGATAATTACACTAGTAAAAATGCTTCTTCAAATATCTTCTCCAGAATTCTTTGAAGGTTATCAACAATTCTTGTCGTGGATTCCTCCATCCTTTCGGAGAATTGCTCAAGTGAATGTGACCAAATCGGAGCTCTGGCAACCTCCATTCTCTCTTTTTTTTTTTTTTTTTTTTTTTCTTCTAAATGGCTGAAAACAGAATTTCAAAGGCTGAATCTACCAGAACAGAACTGCTCTGATACCATTTGCTAGGAATTAGCATGGTTTCTGACCAGATTACAGCTCTAAATATGGTAGAAATTAGGGAAGAACAATGATGATTATATTGATAATAGGTGAATTACACTAGTAAAAGGATAATTCCACTTTTGAGAGGTGGATTCTCTCCGAATATGAGCTTTCGAGAGGCTCACTCTCTCCCAATGACATAACCTCAACAATATTCAACATCATGATTATTATTCCTCCTAATGAGGCCTATATATAGAAAAACTCTCATAACAGACCCTATCTTATTTCCCAAGCTACTATTAATAGGCTATGACTAACATACCCTTCCCCTAATATTGATTCCTTGCAAAGGCTCAGACCAAGAAAAAGCTTACCGAGGGTCATAGACAAAGTTTTTTCCTTTAAAAAATCCACCATCGGGAAATTGTTCTAGGTAACGCTGTATTCCGCCGTACAACTGCAGTTAAACTACATTGGGTCATGAAGTCTCTTAGACACAAAGTATGAAGACTACGAACAACGAATTAACAAGAAGGCAACAATAACAAGACAACAAACACTAGCTAATGAAACAAACATAGATACATATGCCAACCTGAAATACATTCTCAAAGCCAGCACCTTTTGATCTTATGTAAGCAGATGCCATCTCACACCTTATTCCTCCTGTACAATACCTGCAGCATAAATCAACAAGTTGAAGTAAGGTCAAAACAGAAATGGGAACATTATATTACCAAAAAAAAAAAAAAAAAAAAAAAAAAAATCTAAAAAAGACATCAAACAAGACTCTAGATGTAACATGAGAGCAAGAACCTAGCAGCAGCACTCTTTCTTATTATAAAACTTTACTTCAGTTCAAGTAACAGCTCTTCATAGATAAAAAGATGAGCCCTAACTTACTTGACATGGAGGCAAGTAGCATAACCAAATTAAAGAGATACTGTGTTTCGTTAACTTCATCATTTGTCAGTGAGTTGAAGTTTTGAAGAGCATCAGCATTCAGCACCATCACAGGATCAAAGCAGAAATTATATTTTATAACAGCTCTAAAGAGCATCAAGTCTTTTGTGGAATTTTAAAATGAAGCAGGATACTGATACTAAAGTCCTGAGACTTGATGCTCTACAAGGAATATAGTGAATATTAAGCTCTACAGGGAAGCTGTGTAATGAGAGGACTGAAGATCAACCTTTAAAAGTTTGATTTGTTTGTTTGATGTATCTATGGCCCATTAAGTGGAGTCCTGGAGGGACAACCAAAAGGGCTTTAATATTCACTATATTTTCCCAATGATACTGAAGAGGAAGTAGTCTTTAGATTGATGGAGCTGTAGCTAAAGGTGATGATTTAAAAAGTTGCATAACGGCTTCAGCATGAGCTTCAGCATCAATCTAAAGAACAGAGAACCTAATGTCTCAAAAATAACCCTGCTTGGGATGCAGTAGGCAGATTGGATGCACTAACACTACTAACCCTAATCCTACAAAGAACAGAGAGGTGCCCACAATAGCCTTGATCTAAAATGCAATAACGTTAATATCTACTGTTGAATTTTGATTTAATTCATAGAGACCCAACACCAAGAAATGGTGATCTTTTGGCTCAACAGAAAATTAACAAATATGGGAAATGAACTCAGAAGAAGAAACCTCAATCTTGAAAATGTTTTATGTAGAAGAAGATTCAATTGACAAGGCCTGAAGGAATAATTAAGATAATTGGGTCAATGCACACTAATGAGGACAACTTAAACCAGGTAAAAGGAGAGTTTGGAGACAAACAAATCTTCTATACTTTGGAAACCCGAACTTTCCAACATAATAACATAGCCTTCATAGTTTATAGAAACATTGTTCTACATTGCTAACCAACCCCCCTACCCCCAGAAAGAACTGAGTAAGTTAGTAAAGATAAAGCCTTCAAACTTACATGAGGACGCAATTGCCACGCAGCTTATCAGCATTACTATCTATCCAGGCAGGCAAATCACTATACTGTCTTGTAACAGGATCCAAAGTTTCAACTTCTGGAGATTCAAACTTCCCAATTCTCGTCTCATACAAGTTCCTTGCATCCAGTAAAACAAGCTTTTTAAAGTCGATTGGCGACTCCTCTTTCAAAAGTTCTCCTTCCAAACACAACAAATTTCAAATTGCCAATTAAGTACCAACAATTGCCAACATACATCAAACAAAAATGACGAAAAAACTTACAACACAAAGACTACTCCATCCCACTTATATAAGCCACATTCCTACAATCTACTTTGCAATTATTTTTATTTGGAATTAATTTGTAGTATGATAATTAAACATTTGTTCTCAACAATAGTAAATAGTATTTCGAGCAAATTCTGTAAATAATCAAATGTGACTGATTAAATTGAGACTTAGAAAGTATTATTCTATACTCAATAATCACAATATATCATTTAACACATAAAAAACATAGAAATGCGATCAATATACACAACTAAAACAAAAAATATGAACAATTCTACAAATTATCATTCAAAAGAGCTAAAAATTCCTTCAATTCACAAACAATTAAAAGAGATACGAAAATATATACCAGAATTCTGAAGAACTGAATGAAATTCAAGCGCAGAAAGATGCCGCCCAGCATTCGAAATCGAAGGAGTCTTAATCAAAGGATTTGACGAAAGAGTGACCAATTCCTTAACAATTCGAATAGAAAGAGAAGTGAAACCGCACTCTTTCGCAACCTCCATACTCAAGGGTTCATTGTAGGAGGCGAGCTTGAAATCAGTACCTTCGAAGAAACCGCCATAGTTGTCGAGGAGAGCAGCGATGTGGTTATGGAGGAGAGAGAGTTTTCCGCCGATTGTGACATTGACGCCTTGAGGAGCGAGTCGAACTCGGCCGAGTAGACCGAGTGACGAACAATTTGACTCGTAGAAGGTGAAGAGTTGGTTTAGGTTTTCGATGGGAGAAGAGGTGTAGTTGTAGTAGAGTAGGACTCCTTGTTTTTCTTCTTCTTCCTTGGTTTCGGACATTGATGGAGTTGTTCTCTCTGTTTCTCTCTCCTCTGTGTTGAGCTCAGCAATGGCGGCCATTGATGGAGAAGAAATGGTGAATTAGAGGGTATGGCGTAATGGGTTGCTAAAATGCTAAGCCCAGAATTCTCATAATGAGAATGTATAGTGCATTAGTGCCTATAGGTTGGGTCATGTCGAGCTTGTACGCCTAAAGTTGGTTAAAATATTAGAATCACCTAACCATGAACCATGATATGACCTACTAACCGTATATTGAGTTGTGCCAGAAGTTTTAAAAGGAAGGTCTTAATACTATTGGAGGTAACGTGTTAAAGTCAAATTCCTCAAGTAATAAAACGTGATTCATAATGTGTCATGCTTTTCCAACAAAAATGTAACTTAGACGTAGTTTACAACACACATACTTCATACATAGTAATGTGAAGTTGTGCCTCCTTCGATCCTTCCAATACTACTAATATGGCTTCATACCATCTAATGTCACAAGTACAAGTCACAAAATACTAACTTTGATCTCCATAAGTTTTACACCTAACCTTAATCCTCATGATTCTAAATTTTGTCTCAAAAATCACTCCAACTTAGCATTAACTCTTTGCCTTAATCTCAACCAACACTACGAAATCATCCACAAACACCACGGTATCTCATCTTGGATAGCCTTTATTACTTGTCCAAAACTGGTGCGAAGAAAACTCTCGTGTTACTTCTCCACAAGTCCTAGCGTGTCTCTTTCATCATGTACATGTTCTCCACAAGTCCTAGCATGTATCTTTCATCGTAGTACATGACCTTTATTTTTGTCAATATACTTGCATGGTAATCCCTTCTTCGTCATAAGACTAAAGGCACAACAAAGCACATACTAATCAGAGGAACTAATCCACCATGTCAGATGCTAAACACAAGGTCAATTTAACTAATCATAGTTAAAACTTAAGCAATAGATTAGACTTCAAAATCAATTTCACATTTGACAAATCCATAGTCAAGTGCTAGTATGCATTGCATTGTTTAGCTGCAATTTATTCATAGAGTTTCGGTAAACCATGATGACCTTTCAGTGCAAAAAAAATTTCTTGCAACACAATATTAGTACAAGGGAAAAAAAAAAAAAAAACAAACAAACAAACAAAACAAACTAGAAATGGAGTTCAATCTTTACACTTTTTACTAATACCAAAAGATTATAAAAATAAAGGGAACAATACACCCATATACTCATATAGTAGTAATTATGCATAAGCAAAACAGCAAGAACATTCTCCTTACTCAGCCTGATGACCAACCTGAAACTTAAATTTTTCAACGAATTCAAGGTGCCAATGGCAAGAAACTTTTGACTACACTTGTGCAACTAAATACAAATTCCGAGTATAACATAAATTTTCCTGTGAGAGGCAGAAACACAAAACAAAATAGACCCATAGTTCATAATAAAACAATGAGCCCTAAGAGCAAGACCAAAACACTGGCTCCAAGGGGGGACTAAAATAGCAAAGACAACTTCCAAAATTCAGTTCGGGGGTTGGGGTGCAGGGAAGAGGCCTAAGAGAGACTACAACCACCAAAAGCTCCACTTCAAACAAACTTGAAACCGCCAGCTGGAATGTTGGGTTGGGTAGCACCAAAGTTGAAGCCCTGCTGATTCATAACTGCACCATCTTGAACATTCTGTTCCTCTTCTTCCTCAGCCCAGTATTTTTCCAAGACTTTCACTGCCTTCTCATATATGTCGTGATTATCATGAGTCTGTAAGTTCTCAATCTTGTCCAATCCTTCACATTCATCAATCATTTGAGCATAAATATTAACTCCACCATTCATTCCCATTTCTTTGTCAGCTTCACCCACTTTCAGTATGTTCTCTAGACCCTCAAGACAAACCGTGACAATTCGAGGATCAGGGCATATAAGAAGATCACAAAGTGGTTTGATACAACCTTGAGTCACCAAAAATCTGCAGGAACAAAACAAAATTCAGAGGATAATGAAACTTTGTACCATAATAGATGACTTGAAAATCGAATAAGATTATAATGCGAAGATCTAAGACAGTCAAGAGCAGAACTCAAAGTTATTAAACAGAGATTCAAATAAGCATCAATTTGACAATTTTACTCTAAATCTTTGAATTATTTTGTACTTTACTCATTTTATTTTAGTTGACACATTTCTTTAATTATAGTTTCCAAATTTCTTTAAGACATGTTTGCCAACACATAGTTTCAAATATTTATATCTTCAATCGCCTATAAGCTAAGATCATAAAAATTAGATATTTGGAAAATAGATGTCAAGAGGAATCTAACAAGACCAAGCATAGCCTTTTTTTTTTAAAGAATAGATCACATAAAGAAGTCAAAGCAGCTAGTGTGAGAGTGATCAAAGTCAAAAGTGTCAACTAAAAAGAGAAGAAATACCGAAGTACTTCCTCTGATTTCTTTTACTTGCAACACTTCCATACTTGCAACACACTATAAAAGAAAAGTTACTTTAGGGAAAAAATATACTATATCCCTTATTTAAAGCACATGGCCCACTAAACTACACTCCTAACAACCACTCATCCTATCTTAAAGTTTATTATATCATGTAAACCCCACCTTTCTTAAATACCGCGCTAAAGGGTGTGTTGCATCTAAAAGAAAACGGAGGAAGTATGATTTAGTGAGTCCATGCATGACAAAAAATTTATAATTTCCCTTCAAAAATTACTTAAAAGGCTTAAAGCTAGCCAATATTCTAATCAATGAGGATGTTGGGGCATGTAGGTCCGCCCATGAGATAGCACATGCTAGATATTTAATTCTATAGCATATTTATCCACATGAGGGGTTTTCCGATTGCATCTAATATGATAGAGTCAAGCAGCACATGCTATTCAGTCCCACAGCATGCGTATGCACATGAAGAGCTCTACTTACTGTAGCAAACTAGCCAAGGACAACACGAGTCCATGACCTATAGATTTAGCAGGTTCAACAGTGTGGAAATAATTATGTAAGTGGATAAAATGCTTTAACATACACAAAAGTTGAAACACAAAAAGTAGAAACCTAGGATCAGCAATGATGATCAGAGTTAACAAACAAATCATGAATTCAGAAAGAAAAAAAAAGAGTAAATAAATAAAACTTGTGAAAATTTCTTGACATCGACAGCATGTATTCATTATGATAACAGAATCTGCCACAACTGTGACACAGACAAATTTCATTTCCGCCTAGAAACATCAAGCAACTTTCATGGGGTAAGATAAATCATTTATCATAATTGACATGTATAGCATATTTGAAGGCTTGCACAGCAAGACATTCCTTGATTTAGTATGCCCACAGTACATATGATCTGTGTAAGATAAATTTGGAACAAAAGGATTCAAGGATGTATGTATCACCCTTGTTTGAAAATTAACTGCTATGGTAATTTTCTTCTTTTGTCTTCAAGTTCTCCAAATATAATATGCTCAATAACATATACTCCGTAGTATACGCCAAATAAAGTGTCCCAAGTGCCCATCTTTATTTGTATCCAGACTTACAGAACCAAAACCCAGTTCCAATAGAACGTTAGTTGCTGGTTAAAAAAAAAAAAAAAAAAAAAAAAACTTGCCAAGTAATGGCAATGTTCCAAGGTCCAGGGACTATTGCTAGTAGAATCCACACCTCTGCAGCTCTATCATTAGACAAAGTCTTCCATTAAACTTCTCTGAGAAATAGTAGGAATTCTAACTGTTCAACTAGCACTTAGTACTGATGTATCAACAAATATTCTGGAAAGAGAAATATCAATATTATCAGTGTGTTCAAGGTGACTGGTTTCCTCCCTTACAATGTGTGTTCCTGCAAGTTCAGTGTTGGTTCTCCTAAGTTTTTCGTGTTAAAGATCGACAATTTGGGGCTGTTGGGTGATTAATTGAAAATTACTAAAGGACTTTGATTCAATTATGCATTCAGTAGCAACTTAATATAGATAAGGATTCTCTTCAACCAAGCTATGTGACAAAAAAAGATAATGAGGTACCAAAGAATTCCAATATTCCATCATGGAAATGGAAAGTTCAAGAGGATAGGCCGATTGGTTACGAAATGGAGCAGATAAATAGGGACTGAATGTAACAACAACACCACTTAAGTCCTGTGTTTTTGAGCTGATGTGCGGGTGTGATGACTGCCTGTTCCAAGAATTAGTTTTTTCCTTGAACTTGAATACTTGTGCTTTTAAATTCCCAGAATATGGTTTGCTTACATTAGCATTGTAGTTTGATCCTTAAAAACTTGAAGCTCTCAAACATAGAACTAGCTCGGTACCTTCTAGTAAAACTCATATTGTCTCTCTACAGTTGTAACTTCTGTATACTTCTTGACTAATCCCAATCTCATGCTATGACCACCAAAGCAACCATAACCCAGCAGCTTAACACCAAATTAGCCAAGTTCCAATAAAAAATAAGTAAATTCTATAACAAGTCAGTTTTAATAGCTGATCAGAAGAAGACAACAGAAGAATGTTCCCTGTTGCTTCCTTGTTACTAAACATAAGAAACAAAATTGTCTTACATGCCTAAAAGTCTTTTCTATACTTCCAATCGTACCTTTACCAACTTGTATTCCCGACAAGGGGGAAAAAACCTCAAGGTTATAAAATATGGAAAAACAGCATTTACGGTTTTACACTTTTACCTCATAATAGGTAGATCAGGAAACTCACTGCCAGTAAGGATGCTAACCCCTGCAATCCACGCAGAGTAGGCAATAACGAGCTATTCATAACCAAAGGTGTTGAAAATAGGGCATTAAGTATACCAGGGAGAACAATCCGTAGTCCAGGCACATTACTGGAGAGGCGGATTTTAGTCCAGCCCACCCTTCCATAACATTCATCCTAATTCATGATGTCTTAATTTAACAAAGAACAGTGCAGAACCCTCTATCAATATGAACACAACAAAGATACCAGAAAGCATGGATAATGTATGGCATACCGTATCTGATCAGGAGATCCCCCAGATGTGGCATTTGAGATTGCCCATGCAGCCTCCTTTTTAATGTCAAATTCCGCATTCTGGAGCAATTGCACGAGAGGTTGCACAAGACCAGCCTCAATAACGGCCTGAACGACAGGAACAACAAAATGTCAACGAATT